ATCTGAAGCTTCTAGCCTTGTGTCTTGTTTTCTGTCTCTTTTGTTGCCTATAATTAGTGTTACTGTTTTCTTCTTCCTCTTGATTTTATGTCTCTCTATATGGAGTATAGCTTCTCTTCTTCTTAAAAGTTTTTTATTGCTATCCATAGTTGGTGAATCTGATCTTGAAGTATATCTGTTAGTTTTTATATGATGGTTTTTATTATTCTGAGCATCTATTGTTACTATACTTTAATATTTTGTCTTAGTATAGTTGTCTGTTTCCTTTCTATAACTATTATATTTTTAATTTTTTTCTTTTTTAGTAGGATTATCTAAATTGTCTGAGTTAGATAAGTTGTTTGTATTGATGGACATTCTACATTAATGTTAATAGTAGTTTTTTGCACTCCATACTAAGCTTTGGTTCTCAATCTTGATTTATTGTTGACGTGCCTCTTTCAAGTTTTTCTCATTTTCAAAATAAATTACTGTATAAATTTCAGGTACTAGAGTAATCTTATTTATTGATATATAGGAGACTTTACTTTTGTTTGACTGAGTGATTTGGATATCTGTTCTATAAATTTTTCACTAACTTCATATAGTTTTTAGAAGTGATACTTTCTTTCTTTAAATATTTGACTTAATTTTTTATTATCAAATTTTTTGTGACACTATTATCAATCTTATGTGATTTGATTTAAGAGTTTTTTATACTATTTGTTATATAATTATAGATTAAAAATATATATATTATATTTTTTAAAAGTTTTTAAAAAGGAGGCTCTTTCTGTTGATCCTCTGATCATATACAAAAAAGATGTTTACAAGAAGTTTTATATTTTCTTGCTAATAAAGTCTTTATATTTTTATTAAAACAATTTGAAACTTATCTTTAAGTATTTCTACTACCCTCTCTTACTTGTTTATAAGCTTTTTTGAATAAAAACTTGGATTTATAATGACTTGAATAGACTCAAGTACATACTTTCTTTACTAAGGGCAAGAAGGTTTTAGGAAGTAAAAGAATTGACAAGTGAAGTATCATTTTATAGAATTAGAAGCAACAAGAATAGAGATTTTGTTGACAAGAGAAGGCTTATTATTCACTTTTTTATATACTGTTTTATATCCTCTTAGAATATTTACTGTTTTTTATAATTTTCTTGAGGAATTTTGCCTACCTCAGTTTGATTCTAAATTTCTAATAATACAATATCACCTGATATTTGATTGGCTGATACGAAATATATTAATAACAGAATGTAAACAAGTTCCTATTAATTATATTCGTGTATTTCAATAATGTCTTTAGTAATTGAAAGAATTGATTGATATCCCGGTTTTACCCACTTTTTCAATTGGGTTAACCTATAGATTAAGTTCTATGAGACCAATAAGATATAAGCAACAAAGTTCTTAGGCAATGAAAAAGTTGCTATTTATACAAGCTAAGATCTTTCTTTCCTATTATTCCAGTCCGGTAAAGTTCAAAACCAAGATTTTTTTTTTATTTCAGTTAGGTAATAAGATTGAATGGTCTCTAGTTTATACTAAACTCCAACTCTTTAGTTACAGTTGAGAATATATTTTTTCAAAAATTATTAAAAGATATTAAAGATATTATAATCAACAAGGATTTCTATTACTGTTTGAAACCCTTCTATCATTACAAGGCAAAAGAATTATTGAGGTATTTGATCTTTTATATAATGAAGGATGTATATTAGTAAAATTCTTTTAACTAGACATGGTTGTTAAAAAATATTATACTAAAACAATATGGTTCAATTCTTATTGAATTATATAAGAACCTGTAATTCATGATAAATTATCTCTCTATTATAGATGGATAAAAAATTACTGCCCAAAGAAAGTTGGGATCAAGTATATCCTGAAAGTAAAGGTTCTCATTAGGTGATAAGTTTCCTTAGACAATATACAAGAAGAAAATTAAGATAAAAAATGAATAAGTAAGTTTCTCAGATGGTCAGGAAAAGAAAATATATCCCAATCAGACATTTCTTATTGAAAAGAGATCTTGAGAAGCAGGTTTTTGGAGGAAGCTGAAAATCTTTTTTTTTCAATTTTTACTCTTTTATTTTTTTGTTATCTATTTAAACATTTTTAAATATTTTTCTTTTTCTTTTTTTTAATTCATCCTTTTGTAATTTTCTGTATTTCAGTGGTTTAATATAATATATGATAGTGATAACTTGCTGATAATAATGTGGTAAACTAGAAGGGTTTTTATCTAAAGATATTTTGAAGTGAAATATTGTCCCCAAGGTCAGACTTAAAGGTTTTTATACTTATGACAAGTTAATTAAATTAAAATAATAGTTTAATTGAGTATGTATCATGCTGTTTAAATAAAAATATACTTATATTTTCAATTAATTAATAAACTCGCAATTTAGCCTGACTATAGGTACTTAAAAAAAAAAAGTTTTTTAAAAAAGATTTTTTTATTAAAATAATCAATAATAAATTATATATTTTAATAAAACTAATACTAAAAATTTTTTATTTATATGAATAAATTAATTATATAATATATAATAAATATAAAAAAACAATAAAATATTTATTAAAATACTTAGTTTATAAAAATATATTATAAAAAATATAAGGCAAGAAAATAAAAAAAGTTTTTAAAGATTTTCACAAAATTATTTTTAAAAAAAAAGAACAATTATTAATAAATAATAAATAAAAAAGAAATCAGAGAACTTTACAAATAATTCCTTTAAATAATAGAATAATTTTTCAAATTTAATCAAAATATCTTAAACTTTTATATATAATTAATAAAATATAATTTTATTATAAAAGTAATAAAACTAAAAATATTAAAAAAAAATCTTTAATAAAAAAACAAATATTAAGAATATAAAAAATTTTTGTAACTATTTTTGAAAAAAAAATATAAAATTCTAGATATAAATAAATTATAAAATAGAATAAATTCGAGAAACCTATAAAGAAGATACAATTAAAAGATCTTGAAGAAACTTAGTAAAAATATAAGTATATATAAAAAACAGGAAAAATAAAAAAGGAAGTTTTTTAATAATTGTATCAAATAAAATCAAGTATTGAATAAAGTAATAGATTCTGATTTTTATTAGAACTTGAAAAAGCAATTTGCAATAGTAACCTATAAGCAATAATATTAGTAGTCGAAGGATTTCTCATCTAAACTATTAATGGAAAATAAATAAATCACTTCTAAAGTTGTACTTAAAAATTAGTTAAACTAAGATACGTAAGTTAATTAGAGAATTATCTTTAGAAATATATAAATTAATATACGATCTACAAAAGTTTAATAAGTACACATAACTAGCTTGACAAAGAAAAAAAAAATTATTGCATTTATTATTATTATTAAACTCGCTACTCTCAATATTATAATAAAACAGATCAATACATAAAGTACAAAAAAAAATAGACTCTTCAATAGATGGTGAAAAAACCAAATGCAGCAGTTCTAATTATTGAAACATAATATTATCTCTTTAATCAGATGTTCGCGAAGGTTTGATTGTGTCTTTACAAAAACAAAGTCTATTTTTACGTATTATTAAAAAAAAAAAAAGATTGAAGATATTAAATTTTCTATAGAGATAACATTGACGACATTGTTTGCTTCAAAATGAATTATTTTGTAGCAATTTTTTCTTTTTAAAGAAGGTTCCTTAGGAGTGCTCATGATCTTCGGGCAACAAAGGTTGATTTTCGTTAGTCTGAGGTGGTGGTACGACAAAACAAGACGGTGGGCTTATGACATCATTGAAAATAAAGGTTCCGCATATGAGAACGATAAATCCTGCAATGTAAGCACAATTAAATATTAGAACATTTAAGGCATAATGTACGCGCGAATAATCTTCAATGTTTGAACTTACCAACAACTTGCAACCAAGAAAATGTTTCCCACCCAATGAACAATGAAACAATCCAAATGAAAACGATTCTGCTAGTGTCAATCGTAGACCTAGCAGTAGCACTAATACTCCTCGTAACACTTAAGCCAAAGTAATTGAAAAATGCTATTGAAAAACATATCAAAATACCGGATACCCAAACTTGCCTATAATTGATGATTTGATGAAATCCAGCTGGAATATCAAAATATCCACCTGGATGTGATACTCCAACTAACAAATATAGAAACGCCATGCCAATTATTACTGTAACCAAACCAAACATTCCTTCAAGTCCTACTGCGCGCAGTGGCTTAATTCGGTATCTTTCCATAATTTTTTCTTCTATGACGAACTGTGATGCAGTAAATATTTGTGCAAACAAAACAAAGAAAACTCCGATAATTGATTCTGTTGAAGCTGCTAATTCCGTTGAATCAGCTGAAGAAATTGTATAATCGGTAATGGATGAATGGTCTGTTAATTTCGGTGTTTCATTCGACAATGATGTGGCACTAATCTTTGCCGATGGAAAGAGAATACTACTAATGCCAACAATTGACACGCCTAGCACAACGAGAAACAGAGAGAACCAATGATAGGGGTAGAGACGTCTGCGAAGGAATAATACAGAGAATGTACCAGTAAATAAAACAACAGCACCACGAAGCATTTGGTAAACTGAGGCTGTTGTATAGATTAAACCAACATTCATGAACTACAAGATATCCAAAACTAGGTGAAATAATGCCGCAAATTCAATTAGATATCGAATGATTCACTCTGACACCTTTGTCATGACATACCGTAGTGCCCAAGATATCGCACATAGTAGGTAACCAAAGTAGAAATATTTTCCAGCCCGTCAAATCTTCGCTCGGACCAAGATATTCCTCCTCTATAATAACGTTATTGGACGTTACTGCCCCAGAATCTTGAGTTAGCGTGGCTTGAGTATCTAAAGGTTTATAAGATCTTTTCGCTTTTTGATGTTCCCAAAGTATAATAACATAACCAAGTACGAAACACAGTGTTTCACCGACGAACATATTCAGTGTTTGCCATACGGGTTGCTCGAAGTATTCCGAGTTTGTTGGATCACTACAGTTAGCAACACATTGCTTGTCCTGAAGTTTATTAAGAATGGTGTTGCAAACACCGCTGATTAACATGCCAGCTACTAAAAATTGAGTCGTTCCGATCATTATGACAGTCGACAAGTTTTAATTTTTGGGAAGCTGGTGGGTGAAACACGAAGACAATATTGCCGGTTTGGGTTGAGAACTGGCGTAACTGGTAGTGCTCACATGATTGCTGTATAAGCCAATACGTGTCCGACGAATGATGTCTGCGAATGAAATGTGTCATGCTTAGATTAGAAGTAACACAAGCCTGATGACCAAAAAACATTGTGTCGATACAATTATAGTTGGAATTGCGTCTATTGCAGTAATTGCTTTTTTTAGTTCAGATTCATTTCATGATTTTCAGTTTTTATGAATTTAGCATTTAATTTCTTTTTATATATTTTTTATTATAATCACAATTTCAAGCTTTATTTTTGTATATCAGTATATTCTAAAGTATCATATTATTAAAAACTATAATTATCAGATAAATAGTTTCAAAAATAAGATTTACATATTTTTCTTTATTTATATACTGTATAATATAAAAAAAGTAAATAACATTAGTTATATCCATTTATTTATTAATCAATTGAAAATATAAGTATATTTTCATTTGAGTAGCATAATACATATTACTAATAATGGGTCCCTAAAGTATTTAGCATATAAAATTTCGTAGATCACTTATGTCCTTTTTTGAGGGACAAAATTCATAACTCTTCACTTCAATAGGGACAAAAATCAGGAAATACTATAAATCAATAATTTGAATAATGGAGAACAATTGTGGATAGTTTTTTTATAATTATTAATTTAAAAATTTTAATGTTTCCTAGTGAGGGACATTTGACTTATGTCCTTGCTTCCCTCTTTAGGGACCCATCTTTACATATTACAATCAAACTATTATTTTAATCTAACTAACTCATCATAAGTATAAAAGCCTTTAAGTTTGATCTTAAGAATAATATTTCATTTTACAATATCTTTGAGTGAAAATTCTCCTAGTTCACTATATTATTACCAGCAGGTTATCATCACTATATGTCTAACCAAGTTACTAAAATATAGAAAACTATAAAAAAATAGATTGAAAAAAGGAAAAGGATAATATCTAAAAATATCTAAATAGACAACAAAAAAATAAAAAGATAAAAATTGAAAAAAAATTTTTCAGCTTTTTCTAAAAACCTGTTTCTTAAGACCTCTTCTTAATAAGAAATACTTGATTGAAATATTCTTTCTTTTTCTGACCATCTAAGGAACTTATCTATTCTTGATCGTGATTTCCTTCTTATATACCATCTGAAAAGACTTATTATCTAGTGGAAGCCTTTACTTCTAGGACATACTTGATTCCAACTTTCTTTAAGTAATGATTTTTTATCTATCTGTAGTAAAAAAGTGACTTATAATGGATCATAGGTTCTTATGTAATTTAGTAGAAACTGGATTATGTTATTTTAGTATAATACCTTCCAATAGTTATATCTAGTTAGAGAAATTTTACTGGTATACATCTTCTATTATTCAAAAGATCGGATTCCTTAATAATTCTTTTGTCTTGTAATAGTAAAAGGATTTTAAAAGTGGTGAGGATCTTCATCGATTATGATATCCTTTCATAACTTCTAGGGAAATATATTCTCAACTATAACCAAAAGGTTGGAGCTTAACATTGACTAGAAACCATTTAATTTTATTGTCTAATCAAGATAAAAATAAGTCCTTGATCTTAAACTTTACCTGACTGGAATAATAAAAGAAAAAAATCTTAGCTTAAACAAATAACAACTTTTTTACCACCTAAAGACTTGTTGCTTATATCTTATTGACCTCATAAAACTTGAGAAGTAAGTAGATATAAGGTACCAATCAACTCTTTCAATTCCCAATGACATTATTGGAATATGTGAAGTGATCAGTAGAAACTTGTTTATATTCAGTTACTAATGTGTTTCATGTCAACCAATCAGATGCCAGGTGATATTGTGCTATTAAAAATTCAGAATCAAATTGAAATAGGTAAAATTTTTCAAGAAAATCATAAAAAACAATAGATACTTTAAGAAAATACAAAACAGTATATGAGAAGATGAATAATAAACCTTCCCTTATCAACAAAACCTTTATTTCTTGTTACTTATAGCTTTGTAAGGTGACACTCTACTTGTCAATCTTTTTACTTTCTAGAACCTTCTTGTCCTTAGTAGAGGAAATATGTATTTGAGTTTTTTTAAGCCACTAGAGGTTCAAGTTTTTATTTAAAAGAGTTTATAAATAAGTAAGAGTGGGTAGGTGAGATAAATGAAGATAAGTTTCAGTTGTTTTAATGAAAGTATAAAGACTTTATTAGTAAGAAGTATAAAATTTCTTGTAAATATCTTTTTTATATATGGTCAGAGGATCAGCAAAAAGAGTTTTTAGTTATATTTATTTATATACAATATTTTCAAATTATTATTTTTATTTGAATTAATATTTATAGAAAATTTATTAATCTATTTTTTTTTTTTTTTAATACTGGCTTTAGTCAAGTTTATTAGTGAAGTTTTACTATATAGATACAACTGATCAGAAGAAAACAATGATAAGCTAGTAAACTAATGATAGGTTAAAACCCATTTCATGACTGAGCCATTTCCAAACAGAAACCTAATGAAGGGATCATTAGGTCAATAAAAATTTTTAAAGGGGGTTGGTGTGTATATCCAATCTAGTTTGTCTATTTTAATCTCAAAAGAATGAAAGAAGGATGTATGTTCATATATTAATCTTTTTGAATAATTATCTACTGCTAGAAAAAATAATTGGAACAATAGTTATACAAGGATCAATAGGGAGAGGGTTCTGCTCACATCTTGAAAGGACTTGGCAAAAGAGGGAAAATGGTAATCCATTATAAAATTGATACTTGAAACCATGTTATTACTGTCATTTCTTTACTATCAGCTGAGTACTCTTCGAGAACTTTATCGATCAAGAGTACAATATCTGTCCCTCAGTTGCTTTCAATACTTCCATATTATGGTTCTTATATCTTCCAATTTTGATCCTATGTCTTGTCTTATTCTATTTATGTTGGTCTTCTTTTTGATATTCCTTTAAATAACCAGACAAGTCAAGGGGGTTTTTGAGAGGTCTATAATTGGGTTGAAGAGAGTTGGAGATACGAGGTATGGAACCTTTGTTGTTCAATAAATCTGTTCTTACTTATCTATTATGATAACATCTCTATAAAATAAATTTTAATTTTTCTGGCATGTGCCTTTACTGGTCTTGATAAATGTTACTCTTAAAGTACTATCATCATAAAGAAGTTGATTTACTATACCATTTCATATTAACAATTCCTACCAGTGATTTCATTTTCAATTGGTACTAACGATCTCAAGAAATCTCTTAGTTTCTCAGTGTTTCAGGCTTATATACTATAAGTAGATGGTACACTTTCAAGACTTTGCCTTTATTTTATATCTTCTTGAGTAATTTGTTCTTCTTATTTTTCTAAGTAGTGGTAGATAGTTTTTTTAAAGATTACTCTCTTTCTTGATATTCAATAACATGTTAGAAGGTAGTGTCTGATGAGACACGTGAGTGTGACTAATAAGAACTTGTTTACATTCTTTTACTGACATGTTTTTCTCTAGCCAATCACTGCTTGAAAAACTTTGTGTTACTTAAAATTCAAGATTAGATAAAATTTCCCTGAAAAACTGAAAAAAAAACACTCTTAGAACAAAAATATGACAAGAGAGTGGATGGAAAATAAGTCTCTCATTCCAACAAAGCTCTGTATTGTTTCTCTAGGTAAATAGGTAGTAGCACTTTAGTTCTTCTTTTTTTCAGAACTTTCTTGCCATAGATAGGAAAGGTATATTCATGACTTTGATCACTGAAAGTCAGATTTTTGTTTAAAGAGAATGTTTACAAGAGAAAGGGGAAAGTAGAGATGACTCTTGAAGTGTTGTTTCAAGTTGGTTTAAGGAAAGTGGTAAGACTTTATTAGTCAAGAAATAACAAAAATTTCTTGCGAACATCTTCTTTATATATAATCAAAAAGATCAGTGAAAAAAGTTAATTGAGAAAATTTATTAATCTATAAAACTTATCTTTAATCTTTTTT